CACCGGTATTGTCAACGCTTCTATCTGCTTGGAAATAAGTTGTAAATCTGAAGAATTCTCGCTATGGTCGAAAGAAAATGACAGAATCTGGAAATTGTTGTTTAGAACAACAGTAATGAGAAAGATGACGAACTACAAGACAAGCTTTCCTCCTCTTAATTTCAATCGCATGTATTAAAGTTTGTCCCGCTACGTGCCGTACAGACGCTTGGGGTGAGTGGAGGTATAGCTCCTCTCTTTCTTGACCTCGGCACTAGATGGGGGTGAGTGGTCGGCATCACACCCCGGCCGGCTTTACCCCCGGGAAAGGACCCCTGTACCCATTGCAGAGGAGGCTGGGTGGGCCCCAGAGCCGGTCTGCACGCAGAGGCTAGAGGAAAAGTCCTCCGCCCCTGTCACATGTATTATCCACAGGAAAACTCATTCGTATACTGTGCGAGAGATCACCTGATGAAAAATTAGCAATGTAGAGTTCTTGGGTTATCAGTCATGTGAATATGAATTAGTTTACAATGTTTCAGGGACACTCTCTGAAATGTTTAAACTAATTTCATACTCACACGGCCGATCGCCTGAGAAGATATCACTACATTCACTAGCCTCGAAATCTTGAGTACTGCATCCTCAATGCTGTTATTCTGACAATTAAATTGAAGTAAATAATAAATAAACACAATTCATTAAATGAATAATGACCTCACATCGATGGACTTAAAATATATTATCTATACTTATTTACCCACCTCAGTTCGATCTGTGATCAATGTTGATAATTCAAGCCAAGACCCCCAGTGCATCGGTTCCTTACATATAGCCTCAACAAGAACTTTCCTAGCTCTCCATAGAAAATCTATTCTCTTCAGCACAACTCCATACAAATAAAGTTCATAGCCGTCCAGTTTCTCGGCTACGTAGTCCCTCATAAATTCAGTTCCTAGCTCTTGCAAGTTTGCACTCTGAGTGGGATCAGACGGCGTTGTTATATCTATCATATCATCTATCTTCTTCTTCTCACCAGACAGATAGCGCGAATAAAAGTGAAGAAAGCGAGTGAGAGGTACTTTGCAAAATTCAGTAAAATGAGCACACCTGAAATTTAAAACAGACTGTGCATACACAAAAATATGTCCACCCTTCAATAGCGTGACACTGTCTTATTGTACTCCCATTTTTTCTCTAGGATCTGACAAACACAGAAAATCTCATCAGTAGTTGACCTGTTACATCGAAACCTGCACTGATGATACCAAAATTTCATCTACATATGGACTTAACCTTGAGAGAAGGATGTTGGATAAAATTTTGTATGAACTTCATAACAGAGATATGCCTCAATAATTACTACTGTCATTGTTATCACTTTCTTGTAAGTTTGTATAATAACAGACTCATTCCAGTACTGAGACAATTCTTCGTTATTCCAAATGAGGCAGTATGTCACCCGAACCACTGTTATATCACATTTTATCCCACCTTTATTTTTTATGTATACATTATAAGAACTTGTAAAATTCTCTCACCTGTCATATTCTTTCAGATCTAAGTAGCTTTTGGCCACCAAATAATGTTCTGTTTCATTTTGATATACAAAAGATTGTGTATAAATGCAAGGAGAATCCAACTTCACTTCCCGCAATGCAAAATTCATCTCTGACAACCTGAAACAATTAACAAATTATTGAGGTATTTATTAAAAGTAGATCATACTGATAGATCACTATAAATGCTACCATACTATATTTTACAGTGACAGACTGCTACTGCATCAGCATCTGTATAAATAAAAATCATGGTTGGTATTTTGGGGAAGAGGTTGAGCTGTCCATCACAGCTTCAGATGTTTTAACTCTTTATTTCCAGTTTTTGCACTTCCTTTCTACACAGATGTTTTAATTACCATTCGCATGGTTGTTTCCTACCTTCATATGCCACACACCAAATGTAATTATTAAGCTTGAATTAAGCTATTCAATAAACTACACCCCCACACTATAAAAATCCTAAATCATGGTATAAATAAGTTCAAGCCAGCACTAAAAGCGTAACTACCATTTCACTTCCACTCCATGGACAAACCTATCTCAACCAAAAATTACATTATAAATACAGATAAGCAATTGTTTCGATGATTTCTTGTGTGATTACTTTTACTAGAATACTGAACTTGACTGCACATCACTGTCATAACTATGTAATTCATACTTATATTTGAAACATTTATTTTTGCTGGAACATGTTCTACATCCTTGGCTTGGGCCTTTGAAAGATCTATGAAACGTACACAACATCGATTGTAAATAAATTATAATTCTGCTACATTAAAAGTACATTCAGATTGACATGGAATGTAAATAAATTCTATTCTATAAATTATAGAGCCTTACCATTTTGTACTGTGTAATAAACCGCGCTGGGAACATTCGACGATTGCTCTCTGGAGATCCAATTTCACTTCTTTCAAATCAATCTTAAATGATTCATCAGTCATTTTTACAATACAGTTTAAACAAAATAAATGTACTGTTTACTTATAACACGTTTACAAAGAACGACTAAATCTCCAGCCTGATGCACTTCTTACGCCACCACCGATGAACACCAGATTAACCCTAAGTATGTTTGTATTACCTGTGAGGTTATGTACGCGCGAGAGGTCGTTAATGGAAAATAAGTCGTAGACCGAGCAAAGATAATTTGAAGTGATGTGCCTTTTATCATTATTATTATAGAAATAGCAGTGCTGGTTCTTTTTGGCTACAACGAACGATTTTAAGGAATAATGAAGAGCTTCAAAATTTGTACTTCTCCCCCAATAGTGCTAGGGTGATGAAGGCAAGAAGAATGAGATGGGCGGAACATGTAGCACGCATAAATGGGGCAAAGACACTTGTAGGGAAGCCTGAAGGGGAAGAGACCGCTGGGGAGACGTAGATGGGAGGATATCAAGCGGGATCTGTAGGAGGTAGGAGTTGAAGACGATTGGATTTTGCTGACAGGACAGGGACCGGTGGAGGGCCTTGGTTAATTCGGTGATGAACTTTCGGGTTTCCTAAGCCCCAAAGTCATCTAGTTAGTTGGTATTATCTGGTGGAAGTAAAGGTGCCAGCACTGAATTCTATGCGTACCGTCACAAAGAGAGCACTAATACATATTCAAAATGTTTCCTCCACAGATGCTTCCACCAATTGTGTTATAACCTGTAGGCCAAGAAACTTTGTTGTTTCGGCTTCTTCAATTGTTTTATCCTCATACACTATACTTAAATTAATAGTTTTTGTTGGTAGTGCAAAATGTCGAAATTTGTTTTGTCAAAGTTTTATGCGAGTTTATAGGCTTTTATCCGTTGGTTGAAGACAGCAATGACAATTCATGAATATCTGGAAACAGTAAATTTCGGGGTGTGGAGTAATATCATCAGCAAAATGTACGGGGTTAAGACTGAGTTAATGGCTGGGGACTTATCATTGGTATATATGAAGTAATCTGGAGGTTCTCTATCATGTTGACAAGAGCCCACAATTGGTCCCCATCTTGATCCTGATACTTCCAGTATACATCTCTATCAGACTCCATTTTAATAATGCCCTAATCTATGCCTAGTTCTTTCAAGTGTATCATCCCTTAAAGTTTTCTAACTAAAACCAACCTCTCACATCTTCTGCCCCATCCTTAATTTAATTATCCTAATAAAAGTTAATAAATGTCTTGCAGATTCAACCCTTTATGTACTATCTATCCATCATCTATATGAGCAGAAATTCTGCATAAAGGACCATAACTACATAACATAGTCTCACAAGTCTTGTAAATAAGGAGGAACAATTTAATGTAGCATTAAAAAGATACTTAATTACACACTCCTTTTACTCTATCAATGAATTTATGTTGTTTACAAATAAGTGATAAATTTTCTTCTGTGTGAGATGGGTAGATCTATTTGTAACTTATCATTTCTTTAGGTGAACCCTTTGTTTGTATTGTAATTTATATAATAGTATGAATTGTACTTTATATGTATTGTATTATTATTATTATCATGACTTTTCCCACATCCTATTGTCATCTGTCTTATGGATCCACGGAATGTAATAAAATAATATTATGATTGTCTAAATTTAGATGGCGACATTTAAAGGAAGCATGCATGATTAACTCCTCAAAAAAAATCTTTATAGGGCTTTTATTTCTTATTGGATTCTATAATATTTATTCTATGGGTAACTTTTGTTTTGTTTAACAAACAGCTGAATATAAAACAATATTATAAGAAATATAGCAGTAATAATATAAGACTAAAATGGCTTTTTATATTATTCAGAGTTGAATGCACATCTGAATGTGAGATGCCAACAAAACTACAAATGAGAATGGAGATAAACAGCCAAGTGATTTGACTCTAGGACTTCAAGATTATGAATGAGCAAGATAATCACTGAGCTAACCCACTTTTACCTGAGTCAGGTGTCAGTCGGTGAGTCACCAACTTCAAGCAGAGAAACAGTAATGATATTCAGTACTCCCATCACTTACATTCCTTTCCTTTAGCTATACTGCACTTTTACCAAGTCTTCCTATCATAACAGTTTCCATTTTTCACTTTTGCTTTAGTGTTGCTGCAATAAAAACTGAGAAGACTGCTGGGGTATTGTTCATGTAAATTCAGTTATTTGTCTTCCAAATTCAGAGCGAGACCACATAGCATTTTTAATTTAGTAACCATCCAGTGATAAAACACTATGAAACTCAAGTCAATCAATATTTTTTCTCACATTACAAAACCAAAATTATGTTTGGAACTGACATCCATTCTTGAATACAATAAACGAAATCATGGAATATTATACAGTAAAATCTCTGTATAACAAATATTTGTAAACAGACCAATAATATTCATAATAATCAAAGAGAATAAAAACAAATTAATAATAAAACATTTATTGTTTTTACAACAGCCAATGCATTTTTGTCAACATAATGGCATATCGCGTGTTTGTACTGACAGTCACAATTGCAAAAACAATCATTCATTCTGCTAATACAACATAAACAAGAATGACCTGGAAAACATTCACATGATATGTAAATTATCCCTTATCTGCAATGTGTCGAGGCTTATTCATGGTCCAACTGGCCATGCATCAGAGTAGGACTGGTAAACCAATTAACAACAAAGTTAAAATTTGGCTGGCAGCCCCACAGGATGGGGGTTTAAATCTTCTGTTTTGACAATATTTGTTATGGACATCACACAATTCGGAAGCCAGTTCTTTTGTTTCCATTTCGCATCACACCATCCAATGACAAATGAAGCTGCCTGCCCATCGCTTTGTTCAATGTCTCATGTGCCACTTTTGGAATCAGATTCTTGATTAGACATCACCAATTTCATTATAACTGTCACTAGATTCAACTTCTGAAAGATATTATTTCACACAATCTAAAACTGACTCAACATCATTATTACTAAGAGTTTTACTCAGCACCTAGCTCAGCATACTACGGACATTATTGATGTTAAGAGGTTTTTACAATGTGCTTTGTATCTAGCAGATTGTCATCTGAATTTGTCTTGTATAGTACAGCCCAGAAAAAAGTATAGCAAAATGTGGCAGCACTGTGCACTGATTTGAATCTTTCACGGCGACATAACTCAATAAAATTTTCTCGGGTGGTCAGCCGCGTCAGATGGTTAAACGATGAAACCGATGTTTCAGGGACCATCTCTGTCCCCATCATCTGCTGTCAGAACCCTGATGATGGGGACAGAGATGGTCCCCAAAACGTCGGTTTCATCGTTTAACCGTCCGACGCGGCTGACCACCCGAGAAAATGTTATTGAGTTATTTCCATTCATATGGGGACGGCAGAAATGGTGGGCCAAGTATGCAAATGGTGCAGAGGTTCTGAATAGGAGTTTCATGAAGACACACTGAGAGAGCAAACAGTGCTGCTGCTAGTGAAGAAGTTCACAGAGCCTGGATCAGTTTTATCACAACACAAACATTGTTCCAATAGGAAGGGACCTCTACAAACAGCACATATGTGGGTGAAATAAAGCATAGAGTTCTGTAGTCATCCTGGAAAAGTCAGATGCATATAGCAAAATAAATCATTCTGAAGCAAAAATGTTCAAAGAATGGCTTGTAAGAAGATTTCTGTCTTCTGGGTTGTTGCGCTGTGTAGTCTGGTCGATGTTTACCAAAGTTTCAGAGGTCATACTGCCTCCGTCATCGCCCTGATGGTAAACATCGACCAGACGACACAGCGCATCAACCCAGAAGACAGAAATCTTCGTACTCACCGCTGTGAAAACCTCAAATCTTATGATGGTTTGTAAGTTTGGAGTGCTGCACTTACACTGAGACTTTACTGTACTGCTTTGACAGCAACAGTCATAAAAACAAAGAATATGATTAATGAATAATGTATCCAGCATCTACACATTCTAAACAATAATTTTCTCTGCCTGAATGTTACTGAAAATAAATGGTACCTTATAAATTGCTGTACTCGTCCTTCAGGAATCAACATAATGTTAACCTTTCTTAAAATATATATACTGGTATGCTTCCAGTCCATAATGAAACAACTGTCATTCCAAACAGGCCAAAATTGATAAAGTCTGACAATGTGATACTGGGCCCATTGTATGACAACGTCCTATTTTAATTTTAAGCCCCGCACACAAGAGACGTACCTGCAAAGTACAAGTTCACTAGTTACTGAATACAGGAACACAAAGTTATTAGTTCTCCACTCGCAGACAAATGCAACACTTTTGTCACTAATGATGATACTCATCTGGGTTTTGGGGTCATTATGACTGGTCAACCAGCCAACGCGGTGCCAAAACCCAGAAGAACATCGTCATTATGGTCGCTGCTGTGAAAACCTCAAATCTCACTTTTGTCACTGTCAATCTTTGGATTCAAGCCATGATGATTGTTGACTGAAAAATGATTGCAAGAGCACTTAAACCAGAAAATTCCTATCTATGCACACATCACAGAAGTGCAGATATCAGTTTGAAGCATTCTACATATTCAGGAGGTTGCACATTCAAAATATGTCAATATGTATTATTAACAAGCACAAGACTAAAATAACAGATTCTGTACTACCTAACGGGCAATGAGCTGTTCACACCGAGTGCATCTGCCATGCGAAAGTAAGCATAGAGCCCGAACAGCGCAGCAGTGGTAACAAAAACGAATCGAGAACGGAAACGGGGCACAGCAACGTGACGAACTAAAGCCCAGTGTGGGAGCAATCTGTCCATTTCAGCAACGTAATGCCAAAGTGCTCTTAAGTTATGACGACGTACTCTCGGGGTTTGAGGTCTGTCATCATATCTTCTAAGCTGCAGCCTGTGAAAAAAAAAAAACAATGCTCAAGTACTTCAAAACGCATCCTCTAGCTTACATAAACTGTGTATAAGTCAGGTCAGAGTTAGGTGCTTACAGATGACGACAAGAATAAAAAATTACTAAACTCAAGTTCATTCCTTTAGACAGACATAATCATTGTTGTTGAGAAAAGTTCCCAACAAAGGAGATATAAGAAACTTCCTTCTATGTTAATTATGACATTTCATATAATTCATCCAAACTGCAGCAACACAGTCTCAATACAACATATTGTTTATGAGATAACGGCCATCAAATATGAAGACCGACTTCACGAACATACATGCATGAATTAGGTGTCATAAAAGATGTTAGCATAATGACAATGAATCATCTGAAGGTTGGAGTACAGCCAACTCCCAAAACGTAACACATATATAACTCAGGCAATGCGCAATATGCTGCATAAAAAACGTCGGTTTCATCGTTTAACCGTCCGACGCGGCTGACCACCCGAGAAAATGTTATTGAGTTATTTCCATTCATATGGGGACGGCAGAAATGGTGGGCCAAGTATGCAAATGGTGCAGAGGTTCTGAATAGGAGTTTCATGAAGACACACTGAGAGAGCAAACAGTGCTGCTGCTAGTGAAGAAGTTCACAGAGCCTGGATCAGTTTTATCACAACACAAACATTGTTCCAATAGGAAGGGACCTCTACAAACAGCACATATGTGGGTGAAATAAAGCATAGAGTTCTGTAGTCATCCTGGAAAAGTCAGATGCATATAGCAAAATAAATCATTCTGAAGCAAAAATGTTCAAAGAATGGCTTGTAAGAAGATTTCTGTCTTCTGGGTTGTTGCGCTGTGTAGTCTGGTCGATGTTTACCAAAGTTTCAGAGGTCATACTGCCTCCGTCATCGCCCTGATGGTAAACATCGACCAGACGACACAGCGCATCAACCCAGAAGACAGAAATCTTCGTACTCACCGCTGTGAAAACCTCAAATCTTATGATGGTTTGTAAGTTTGGAGTGCTGCACTTACACTGAGACTTTACTGTACTGCTTTGACAGCAACAGTCATAAAAACAAAGAATATGATTAATGAATAATGTATCCAGCATCTACACATTCTAAACAATAATTTTCTCTGCCTGAATGTTACTGAAAATAAATGGTACCTTATAAATTGCTGTACTCGTCCTTCAGGAATCAACATAATGTTAACCTTTCTTAAAATATATATACTGGTATGCTTCCAGTCCATAATGAAACAACTGTCATTCCAAACAGGCCAAAATTGATAAAGTCTGACAATGTGATACTGGGCCCATTGTATGACAACGTCCTATTTTAATTTTAAGCCCCGCACACAAGAGACGTACCTGCAAAGTACAAGTTCACTAGTTACTGAATACAGGAACACAAAGTTATTAGTTCTCCACTCGCAGACAAATGCAAAACTTTTGTCACTAATGATGATACTCATCTGGGTTTTGGGGTCATTATGACTGATCAACCAGCCAACGCGGTGACAAAACCCAGAAGAACATCGTCATTATGGTCGCTGCTGTGAAAACCTCAAATCTCACTTTTGTCACTGTCAATCTTTGGATTCAAGCCATGATGATTGTTGACTGAAAAATGATTGCAAGAGCACTTAAACCAGAAAATTCCTATCTATGCACACATCACAGAAGTGCAGATATCAGTTTGAAGCATTCTACATATTCAGGAGGTTGCACATTCAAAATATGTCAATATGTATTATTAACCAGCACAAGACTAAAATAACGGATTCTGTACTACCTAACGGGCAATGAGCTGTTCACACCGAGTGCATCTGCCATGCGAAAGTAAGCATAGAGCCCGAACAGCGCAGCAGTGGTAACAAAAACGAATCGAGAACGGAAACGGGGCACAGCAACGTGACGAACTAAAGCCCAGTGTGGGAGCAATCTGTCCATTTCAGCAACGTAATGCCAAAGTGCTCTTAAGTTATGACGACGTACTCTCGGGGTTTGAGGTCTGTCATCATATCTTCTAAGCTGCAGCCTGTGAAAAAAAAAAAACAATGCTCAAGTACTTCAAAACGCATCCTCTAGCTTACATAAACTGTGTATAAGTCAGGTCAGAGTTAGGTGCTTACAGATGACGACAAGAATAAAAAATTACTAAACTCAAGTTCATTCCTTTAGACAGACATAATCATTGTTGTTGAGAAAAGTTCCCAACAAAGGAGATATAAGAAACTTCCTTCTATGTTAATTATGACATTTCATATAATTCATCCAAACTGCAGCAACACAGTCTCAATACAACATATTGTTTATGAGATAACGGCCATCAAATATGAAGACCGACTTCACGAACATACATGCATGAATTAGGTGTCATAAAAGATGTTAGCATAATGACAATGAATCATCTGAAGGTTGGAGTACAGCCAACTCCCAAAACGTAACACATATATAACTCAGGCAATGCGCAATATGCTGCATAATATTTTTATTCAGAAATTACAGACTGTGAGCAATTAACTGAGGAAAATTTACAATGCAAGTTTTTGAGTATGGATCCTTTAGAATCATTAGAACTGCAAATATTTTGTTTAAAGTGCTAGTACACAATAAATTACTTATTGGTTTTTAAAAAAATTACTTACTCTTTCTTAAATCTCTCCTGCACTTCAGCTTCAATGCTTCTTGGTGGGTAATCTTCATGTAACTTCGTCGCTTGTTTTAGAAGGCTTTCAAATGGTACATTATCTGGAATCTATTAATTCAACACATAATTTCCTTCTGAGTTTGAATATCATTTGGGGAAAAAACCTTTGTAAACCTAAATACAATAAAGTATAATAAATTATCTACGAGATCTCTCTCCACGGTTCCGACATGCTGCCCACACAATTACTTCAGCAAAGAACACAATATATTAAATCAAGCTTTTAATAAGTGATATCTTAACACATTCACTGCCAGCATTAATTAATAACCTTCATTTAAACATTGGGTCTAATAGTCCATAGATGTATTTTTGCAACACCACACACATCTCGTTTCTCTCTTGGCATTCTTTAGACGCTGCAATGTCTTCCTGTGAATTTATCACCTTTGGTGCAGGAATGTGAATGAGTGCATTGTTTTTATTTTACCATCCAGCTGACACCTTGGATCTTTCTTGGCATACTGTGAGACAGCTTTACTGTGTACCTTTAGAAGCAGTATTGATGTAACAGTACGGGAATTCCTCCAATTCCAGTACTGTACAATAAATGTTAATAAAGCATATTCATTACAATTTGCTGATGATCAGTTGATTCTAGCTGAAGACTATGATGATATAGAATATATGACTAGAAAATTGATAGAGGAATATAAAAAATGGGGACTAAATACCAATTTGAATAAAACAAAATATATGACAATAGGAGGAATAAATGAAGATTTGGTCCTGGAAGAAGGGATGGGAACAATAACACAGGCTGAAGAATTTAAATACCTAGGGGTGAAAATTGCAAATGTTGGGAAACAAGACAAGGAAATTAGATCAAAAATAAATTCTGGAAAGTTGACAATCTCTATATTAAATGGTATATTATGGGATAAACAGATAACAACAGATACCAAAACCAAAATATTTAAAACAATAGTTAGCAGTATCATGATATATGGCTCAGAAGATTGGACTATGAAATCACAATTACTTAAAAAATTACTGGCCACTGAGATGGATTTTTTTAGACATTCTGCAAGGGTGTTGAGATGGGAAAAAATAAGGAATGAAATTATTAGAGATAGAATGAATGTTCAAAATTCAATTCTTGATTTTATCCAACAAAAGCAATTAGAATGGTATGGACATACAAAAAGGATGACAGAAGAGAGACTACCAAAGAAGGTCATGGAATAGGTACCACCTGGAAGAAGGAAAAGAGGACGTCTTCCAAACACCTAGATACAGGGAATTCAATCATCAATGAGGGAGCAAAACATCGAAGAGGATTTGTGGGCAGACAGACAAGAATGGAGAAGAAAAATTAGAATGTGTTAAATCCAAATGTAACCTTGGGTACCAGAAAAATGTATAAACATCGTTAAACCGGAAATATACATTGATGTAACAGTTCACACATGTAATGCTTAAAATGTCCTGACTTCATATTTCCTATAACAACACAAACATTACGTAATCCACTTAATTTTATGGAAGCATTTCTAATACCTTGATGACATGACTACACAACCAAACTTTCGCTGTATGAATAAAGATGTGTAAGTCAAAGTTACGCAGTGTTTGGAACTTACCTGAGAGAGCAGGGAGTGAATGCTGGCCATGTCACAATCCACACTAAAAATTTCATCACATCGGTGGATCACAAGAGCAACAGCTACATACAGTGGCATTAAACGAGGAGAAGCAAGAAAGTAGTCGTAGAGCCTTACCACATCTCCGTACTGGTTTAGACTGTGACCGTACCAAGTAAGGAACCATGGCAAGCAGAACATTGTACCAACACCAGACCTAGCGAAAGAGAAGTATTTGAAGACAGGGCGCAGCAGGCGACTCTGATATTACACATATACTGCTGACAGAACTATATTAGAAGCTAATTCATGATCAAATACATAACCGTCAATCTGGAAATTAATATTATCCATAATTTTCTTGGGCCTTCCTAATATCACATTTTAAGCTAAGTTCAAAATCAGTGGTGATAACACATCTATATTAATCATCAATGTTCACATATACATACATATTTACTTCTAATGTGCTTCATATTCCAAACACTATCTTACCTTTCCATATATTCATACAACTCTGGATTCACCCTAAGTATAAGTGGGTAGATGTAATTGAGCAAATAGGAAGTCTTGTCCATAGTGGGCTCCATACATTCTTTCAAATGTTCTGTGGATAATTTCTCCATGATTTGGAATGCATCTGCTTCTCCAACCACTAACAGGAAAGTTACTGCTACATCATGATAGCCCTAAAGACAAGAGGCAAGTATTCCTTTATAAAACTGCTGTTAAATGTTAAATTCATGAACAGCTAATCAGACACTCACAATAAGAAGTAAGAATAATATTAGAACAAGTAGAAAAATTCTGCAAAAAATATTCATGCCCTAAGCAGAATTTTAACCTGTAACTCCACAACAGTAATTATTACTAAAGTTGTGGCCTTACGACTTTTACTATACTGAATGGCAGTAACTGGAAGTTTGGTAGTTTACTACATTTTGTTAAAATAAAATAAAAATTTAATTCCTTAGTGTCATTCAATGTGCTCGGGATGGGAGGCCCATACATAATTTTGTGCTTACATCAGTACACCACTACTTTCAGGAATCCCTTGAAAAAGTAATTCTGAAGATATTCCTGCAAGTGTTGGGTATGCTCTCAAAAATCTTAATCTCAACTTTCCATTTTTCACAGTCATTAACTGTGTTATGCCATGATAAATACCCCACAGTTCTATCACTGGCAATGTTTTGTATTTTGCCATCAAACATTTTGACATAAGACTGATTGGTGCTTCTACCTCATACAGAATTCATCAGTTGAAAATGAAACTAAGGTAATAATTATGCAATGAGTCACAATAAAATTTCATACATTTAGAAGCTTATAGCTAATGTCATTCCCAATCAAAAATTTTACAAGCACATAATGGTTATGGGACTATGGATTTTTGACATTAAAAAAATAAGACAAAGCAAACACACACATGGAAAATCTTTATTCACAAATTTACAATAACTGTTCAAAGTTATTACCTTCGGCCTCAATAAACATCTCAGCTCGCCTGTGGATTGTGCATGAAAGTAACATTAGTTCATTATGATTGTCCTTTATGTGGACTGAAGCATCCAAAAGGCAATGAAGCACTGCATCCCATGTTCTGATTTTTCTCTGGCATACCAGCAATTTCATGTGCCCCCACATGCACATTATAGTTGTATTATGAAATAAAATAAAAAATAAATAAAATATGACTACTATCATGAATGTTGAAGAAGCTGAATTATCTATGTTGTATAAATTTAGGTGAGAGGAAATATTATATGGATGTAGACAACTGAAGTGTGATGTTGTTTCTCGGCACTACAGCCCTGTTGTGGGATATCGCCGCCTCCTTTTCGGAGGTTTCTTGGTCTTGGTCGTGCGTGAAGTAGTGAGTGACCAGCCCACTGACTCTGCACAATTTCTACTCAATCCTGATTTGACTGCCAGAGCCATCTAGTAGTTAATCAGGAGACTTTTTGGGTGAGAAATGACCGCTGAATCTTGCTTACGAAACATCTCGTATCATGCTCGTGAGGTTCTTTTACATGCCGTACATCTACGACATGACTGAAGTGTGATATTGTTACTATGTCTTAGCAACGAAAAAGCCATGTGGTGCTCTAGTGTGCTGTTGATAGTTATGTAGTATTCTGGCATGGAAAAGGGGCACAAGTATACAGGCTGGAATTTAATTTCCTATCCTTCTCAAGTTATTTCTCCCCTTCAAAATCAGTAGTTTCATGAGAAAGCAACTGAAGACGTTTCATTGCTGTTTAAACTATATATTATACTCCTTAACAAGGACTATTTTTTAATTCTTTTAATTGTCCTATATTGTGTTCACCTCCAAATTACCGCCTCAAATTTTAAGATTTGCAAAGATACATATATGCATGACTTAACCTACCTGGTAGTATCGAAGATGAGGATATTTGATAATAACCCTGAGAATAAGCCTTGTCAACTGATCTTGTAACGCCACCCTCTGTTCATATGGGATACCTAGAATAGATGATGTGAACATTTTGTCTCAATTCAAAACACGCCAAAAAGGCAAAATGCACAAAGACGTATTGTCTGTGGGTGCTTCCTACCACACACGCAATAACTTACTAGTCACAAACGATACTAATGAAAATTATTCACAGAAAAAAGTCACTGAATTTCTGTAACTAATAACTTTGACAATGCTTATATTTCTTATCAATCTTTCTTGCCCAAAAGGTTATCACAGGCCTGACCATTTTATACATGTCATTGAATACCACAGGAAAAATTATTATCCCTAAAACCAAAAATATTAATCTTTACAGCAGCATCTACAATAAATTGTTTCAAAGATGTTCATCAGGACTTTCACCCGTTCCATCCGCACGAACATAAATAGCAGTTGGGCTTAATCCTCCTCCGGCCATTGCACCCTGAATTTATTAAATTCTGAAATGCATTATACAGCAGAAAACTGTGAAAATAATTAAATATCCATGTTGTAGTTTCATTTATAAGAGAATGTTCGAATAAGAATTTATATTTATAATGTTTTAAGTATAAATCTAAAGGTAAGAGATATTAAAATCAGAAAAAGCAGAAACATAATTTTTTTATAAAAATATTAATGGGACCCACACGCAACTGACCTTTATTTAAAAATAACATTAAACCGCAAAATGGTTGAATGTCTGTAGGTTTACATTTTTGCATCTGTAAAGACTATAAAAACTTTCGGCAATGTAAATTATAAGGTTGCACAGGATTACCATGGAAATTGTTACATTAACAGTACCCACAAGTGTGACAGCCATCACTCATTAAGTTTCAATAGGTCTTGCCTGACTCACCACACAGAATGAACTTCTTCCCTGAACTACTTTTTGTATTAAAAATTACGATACAATTGTTATGTTTATAAGATATTGTAAATGCGTCATATTGTGATTCATAAGTATTAAAATATATTAAAATTTTTGCCGTCCATCACAAATATAATAATGTTAAAAGATTAAAACATCATTTAACGTTCCCCATCGAGTACTCGATTACAATAGGAACTTACACGACTAGTTTCGGCTATAATTTAGCCATCAACGGGTGTTATGTAGTTTAAACTTATCACTGAAAATGAAGACTATAAATCATAAAAAACAATAAAAATTAGTAATTCAGTGGTTATGTTTAAGTTCGCCTTCAGTGAGTGGAAATTTGTGTTATCAGAAATTACGAATAGTCACAGAGAAGTAAATGTACAATTACTAACTTGTCATTTCTGCTGGTCGCTGTACACAAAGAGTAGCAATTAATGAACGCACACATCACAAGTTCTTGTCAGAACTTCTTGCATAAAAGGAGATGGTTTTCTCGTACCTTGGAGTGTTCTCATGATTTGGCCACATATACGACTGCTTAAGTTGCCAAAAGAGTAAACTGCTCAGATCATGGACATGGAATTTTTTTTTACGCTGTCAAGCCAGAACCTTTTACTAAAACCTAATTTTACAATGGCAATGAAGGACGACAAACAGAAAGCAAGCCATTGGGTTTGAATATGCGAATCTACGCTTTCATCCGCAATTCACGTCCTTATCATATGGAGAACATACATAACATCACAATGTCAGCACTGATTAGAAATGTTGAAGACACGGGAATGCATGAGTGAGTGATAATTATTGGAAGAAGGCATTACATACTAATACAATTAAATCATTATATATTTACCTGGTGGAAAACGTTTCAGTGATCTGTCAACATCCAACACTACCTGATGATACTCCGCGTGAGCTTCTAGTTCTTTTTCAGTTGGCGGTTCTGTTGCTGCTTGCGTATCAAGGCCCAACAGTTTTGGCCACACTTTCCTCCTGAGTGCATCTGGTGTACATAAATGTTTTATATTTTCTATTAAAAAAGGCACATTCTACATGCCTACAAATTTCCAAAGCTTCTGGAGTTCTTTCATTGCCTCAAGACAAAGAAATCTCCATGTCCAAGCACATAAATTTCTGGGGGTGTGAAAGGAGCACGAAGGTAAAGCCAACAATTTCTTATCCAAGGCTGAAGACAGAGGTGAGTGGCCGGGTTTCTGTTCCAGCCACCTAATCATCAATAGGAGTTGTAACATCAGTTGTCGGAAAATAATTCCTTGTTAAAGAAGTCGTGTATGGCATGCTGCCTTCTCAATTTACAAATCCATCCACAGTACCCTGGGATGATCTGGTCCATATCAACCCCCATTTACATTATTGCTTATGCATGGAAATTCCCTGCTTAAAGGCAATTATTCACTTTAACTGCCAGTTTTCCAATTCTGATTAACCGTGGATAATGAAGACCTCTTGTATTGCACTGACAAATGCCAGCTGTAGTATGTTTTGTGAAATGTTGGCATCCCTGAGTTAGGATGATGTAAGAGATTCTTGGAAACATCAACACTAAGAAATGAAAAGTAATCTGAACTTTAACCTGCTTCTCTTGATAATGTGAAGTGGGGAGCACAGTTAAAGCACTTAAAAGCAGCTGGTTTTGCTCGTTTATAAATTGCATAATTTATTTCTACACAATTAAACATGAAATAAAATTACCATTAACAAGGCCACCTTCAGACAATGCAAGTTTCTTTAATTTTAAGGTATCAACTGGATCCTCAGCAAGAGCAGCTTCTATTTGACGACACTTTTCTCTTGTTATGCTGGACAGAGGTGCTAAAAAGACAGTTACACACAAGCATTTAAAAAAAGCAGTGTAAAAATGTCAGGGCGAGATTGGTTCATATAAAATATAAAGATGAAACAGTTCACTCTGCTCCCTGATGTCATCAGCACAAAACAGCACTCACAATGAATGACCAAAACTGCGAACTTCATACTAATAAAATACCCTAGCATGTTAATACTAACCCTACAAACACTGCCAAAGACACCATATTGAGTCAGCAATAAATATAATAATTACATTCTTCCCAAATTAGGCAAAACAGAATACTGCCATTACTTTTTTTGTCATGTTTAAAGTTTCTAACAACACCACATATAAAAGTACTGTCCTTTATTACAAAGCCTTCTCCCGCTGTTCCCGATTGATCAGGCCACATAAATGAGCATATTTTAATGGCCCTGATACAACTTCAAAAACAATAAAACATATAGTTTGCCCACTGTAATCACCCACATTTATGATAGCTGTTCCTGTCAGCCATGAATTTCTACCTCTGATGCTTAGAAATCTGATAACAGATTTTCAATCAAGTACTGTGAGAATCCAGTGTAAGTACAAAAGTGTCATTGCTCAGATATGTTGCGCCATGACTGCATTTAAACATAATTTGAAAATTCTTGAAACTTGATGGTTTATTGCCATGTTCCCAAGACCCAGATAAGTCCCATAAATTACTTGAAATCATGAACATCCAAAATTATGTTTGCTGGTCAATAACATATGCAACACTTCAGACCCAATGAGAAACAACAAATACCTTCAGCAAAACTCAGTTCTGCAGCAACACATCCATTCCGATCTACTCTCTCCGGTTCTTGCACTAACTGCGGTCCCAAACGGCCGTGGTAAAAATGGTTGTCACTACCGTCACTTTTTAATTCAACCAGGTTCACACATTCTTCGTCCTCTTTATCGCTGTCTTCTTCAGCAGATACAGAATCACTGACGTAATTTGTATTGTCTTCCCATCTTGATGACAAGGCACCTCTTTTTACCCAACTTTCCATTGCTGACACATTTTGTATCACAAATCTACAGATGGACTACACATACCACAAACGACATGTGAACGAAATGCATCCACGAAATTGCCAAGAGCCCTGAGACAAAGAAAAGCGAAAACTAATATTTTTTAATTAGGTATTTGAAGCTAGTGACACTACTCATTACTACTTACATAACACTGGGCTCCATCTTTTATTTTCCTATGAAAGTAGGACGCGTTCTCTGTTTTTCACTACAGATTTCACAATTACAAATTTCATACGATCACAAGTACAAACCATCAGCACAATGCACGTTGTACGTCACAGCTCGTATGAGTCACGTCCAGACAGGCGCTGGATGAAAATGTAACTCGATTAGTCAATGCTATTGACGATGCAAATTGGGCGTCGATGAAATAATAGCAGGACTAATGTATAATGAATTCTTCTCGAACTATCAGTAATGTAAGGTGGTTTAATTGAGAAAATACTCGCACGTTTCGAGAATCATTTTCGTCCTCGTCCTCAGGTACCGCACATTTTTTTATACACATTTCCCAATCCTTAATTATCCTCAACCATCATGAATGTTTACCTTTTTTATGATTACGTACATTTCAATAAGGAGATTATGGTCTGACATGGATGAAATGTTTATTATACTTCCTAATTTTTAAAGAAACTTTCATGTTGCTAGGAATCCTTCACGTGATGGACAGAAATGAAATAAAACATAACACACTCCAACCCTTCACATGGAGTAAGTTCCTCCTCCTAGGGTTTCAAAATGATTCATGGGACGAGAAATGCTGGAGGTTGAAGAGTAATTAACCCTCTTATCGACAGGGCTACTGCTTACGTCACACACGTCGCGTAGTGTTTTTCTACTATACATAGGTGACAGCACAAAACCCGCCGAAACGTTGCCCATCATTCGCATTGGAGTTGCATATCCATATAATTTACCTTGTCAATAGCTAATCTGTGGTACGTTTGACATGTGAAGGTTGTCTATATTACAACTGACGATCACTTGATTTGGAGGTACAGACAAATATTTGCCGTTGTTATCTGTGATGAAGGCTGAGCATCTACGTGTTGCAGTGGATGTTTCGAAGGAATTCTTTGTAATGTTGGCTCAAGTAGCCGTTTTGAACAAAGCACTGTAAAATTTGTTCACATTTCACTGATCCTAAAGTATTTTTAAGAGGTGTTGTGTAGAGTAAATAGTATCATGGAGGTATACAATTACAAACATTACCATGAGCAGTTCATGCAGAACTTGAATGGAACAACACCAACAGAAATCCTGTTGGTGGTATTACCGGCTCCAATTGGAATATTTCTATCGACTTTCTTGTGTGCTGTTTTATTGTGTTTGAAGCCTCAGAAAATTTCTACTCCCACGAATTTTGTCTGTTGGCTTCCAATTTTTGTAGATTTTATAACTATGATTGTGCCTCTTGTACTATGCTTTACTATATGTAGTGACATACATGTTGTTATTACACTAATATTTATGGTGGGCCTTTTTATTTGTGTTGTATACTGCTGTACTTCATGTAGGAAAGTATTGTCACAAGACTATGTAAGCACACTTTTAACAACACAGATACTGCCAAATAAAAGGCCGTTTGTAACAAATTTCAGAGCTGTGATGAATTTGATGACTGGTATATGTATTCTTGCAGTGGATTTTAAAGTGTTTCCTAGACGATTTGCAAAGACGGAAACATTTGGCTACGGATTGATGGATACTGGTGTAGGAATGTTTGTTATATCTAATGCTGTTGTTATACCAGAAGCCTTAGGTTATAAGGGTAAGTCACAGACATTAGCATCTGCCATGTGGAGATCTATAAAAAGTACTGTTCCATTACTCCTGTTAGGAAGTATAAGATTTTTTGTAACAAAACAGATTGACTATCACATGCATGTTTCAGAATATGGTGTTCACTGGAACTTTTACATAACTTTAGCCATAACAAAAATTATATGTACACTGATCCTACAGTTTGTAGATTCTGATTATTCAGTAATAATTACAGCTGTGGTCATCGGAATTCATGAACTCATGCTTGTTTCTGGAATCCAGGATTGGGTTCTAAGTAATGTGGCAAGAGAAAATTTTGTCACTGCAAATCGTGAAGGCATTGTATCTTGTTTGGGATATGTTGCACTGTATTTTGCAGGTATTTGTTTGGGCCAAGGATTGCGAGATTACAAATCTAGCTTTCAGTCTAATATATATTTAATGGGAAAGCAGATTATTATTAGTGTATTGCTGTGGTCTGCTACAGCACTGTGTAAATATTGGTTTGGCGTATCTCGCCGTCTCGCCAACATTGGATATATAATCTGGATACTGGCTTTAAGTACAACAGTTCTTGTGATATTAATTTTAGTTGAACTTCTGACTTGGACACTGAACATGGTTTTCAAAGCAAATACAAAAAATGAAAAAGATGGGCGTTTCCATTTGACCATTGGTTACGTTCCAGTGACTCTGGAAGCGATAAACTATAATGGACTTTTCTTTTTTCTTCTAGCCAATGTAGTAACTGGTCTGATTAATATTTCTGTCCAGACTTTGACATTTGGTGTGTTACAGAGTCTTTCCATAATTTGTGGATATATGTTTGTGATATGTAACGTTACAGTTCTGTTATATTTTAAGAAAATAAAACTTAAAGTGTGGTGAAGTTGTTAGTCACAAACTACATGCTGTAAGTAATTTCATCTTGCTTTGACAATACAGAAATAAAACAAGTTAGTGGAATGTAAGATGTGTATATAATAAATAACCATATTCTAACAACTTTCTTTATGCATTCTATGTAAGATGTGAATGCCTAAAGGGGAATTCACACAGTCCACATGTTTCATTTCCTAGAATTAGTTATGGAGTCTCGGAAAATTACTCTAAACAGTGATTGATTTTGTCACTTGTGGTCTTATGAGTTGTAGGTCATGTTTTGGAGAAAGTCACTTAACCCTGAAGATAGATGCAACATTTTTCTCCTACAAGACCACGTGGCATCACAACCCATAAAACCATGACTGAAGTGACATATTCACTGTTGTAAGAGCTTCATATTTTAATTTGCTTCGAATTTGCACATGAAGCTTGAATCATACTATAATGTTTTAATGGTTCCGGAAATATAACATGACATAAATTACAGAGTTCATTAAGGTTTACAGCTGTTTGTTGTAATTTTTAATGTAGCATGTATTTGATAAAATATACCAGGAAAATTATGCACCTGTGAATAATAGGTGTGTTGTTTTCCGTTAGCAATTTTGTTGTAGTTTGTTTATGATGGGATAGTACAGCAGCTGATAAAAAAGAATAAGAAATTTAACACATTTGCCTGTGGCTCACGTCTCTCGTGCCAGGTGCTGATTGCGCACATGTACATCAGTAGTCTCGGCAACCTCTCCTGCCTGCATTGCAGTCGCTACAATGGCATTCAGTTCAGGTCATATGAGAATGGAGGTGGAATGGGATTAGAAATTTTCTGAGGTGTCAAACACAACATAAGAATTCTCCTTTCGCACCAGCCCTCAGGAGAGTCTGTATGTGGAGACGGCAGAGACCCCACTATCATTGCGAAGTTGGCAACTCAACCCAAGCACCCGACATATGAACCTCTGTTTTACCCCACGTTCTGTGACACATACGAGCTCCTTGACCTGTGGGCCTGCGCCTTTAGGGTGACTCTCCCCTCACTCCCGTTAGACCCCCAAGAATTCCACCCTGGAATGCCAAGCACCCAACCTCCGATTTCCTAGATCCGCGCGAGGCTATCATCAGCTCTCTGACGTACCGCCGGTATTTCGCGGAACTGCCCTCTGCATATCAGGACCACACTGCGATGTATCCTGATGCATCCTTTGTGCAAGGATTTATATTTTCCTATCGCCTCCAGTTTTAACAGCGTCCTTAGCCGAACTCTTCTGTTTATCTCCCGCCAACCTGGTCATTATCTTATCTGTACAGACTGCTTAAGCGCCTTGCAGTGTCTCAGAGGTCACTTTCCATCGTCGCTTTGGTATTTTGATGTGTGCCTTTGACACTGCGGCCTGTGATAGCTGGCGTCTGTCTGTAAAAACTGTGGTGTCCGTGTTACGTCGAAGCCCGCGATATCAGTCATCTTCACGTCAAGCTGTCCGACGTGTTTGGTGAAGATCGTTCAGCGTCTAATGGACACGATTTTATGTTCGATTAGAATTTTCGTTTTTGATGTAATCTCTGACGGGACGCAAACATTCTTAATTGGTATCAGAGTTATTTCAATGTAACAGTACCTACTGTCCACAGAACACGAGAAAAACCCTGCTGAGGGAAGTTGTTTCTGGTGCGGTGCGGGGGCAATGTTACTTATCAGCTGGACTAGAGGGCTGCTATTGGTGGGAAGTGTGATACGTCAGAGTTTAAGGCTACTACACAGACTGAAAACATCAAGCAGTTAAGGATAGCGTGTAGTGAGTGCACCTCTAATGTGTTTTGCGGGTGTTGCGATAATATTCTAGATTAAATCGCTGTGCCACTGTGAGGTAATCTTAAAGCTGTACCCATTAGAACACGTGAAAGATTGTCGTCTGTTGTTCGTTCAGTGGTTGTGGAACGAATGTTTTTAGGATGGGTCGTAACTCACCGCGAAATCTTGCGCATGCGCGTATATCGAATTCCTAGCAGGGATTTTCTCCTGATCTGTGGACTGTAGTTGGCACGGGCAGGAAAATACACACACGTAAACTAATCTAAGCATAAAGAATTTACTATTTCTTGCCGTATAGTCGTTTTGTAAGCTTCAATGTGTGTTGCTTGTTTGGACGAAGTACGCACGTCTGGATACGTCAGAAATTTGGAAAAGTATTTAAAGTTGAGAGCGGCCACGGTGTATCGTCGTATTGTGCATGAATGAGGCCAAACTTTTCTTTCTTTGAGACAACTAAAACAGGCTGAAAATGTTATTATCTTCTTCCCACACGCAAACACACGGAAGAGTTATTATTCTTTAATTGACAAAATCTATGCGTTCTTTGCAGAAACGCACGAAGTAAACTCATGTCAGAGAGACCGCGTTCATCCATTTGTTTGCGTGCAACGGATAATAAATAAACAAATATTTTTAAAGAAATATTATTGGAAAAAAAATATTTTTCAAGATTGTCAAACATAAATGTACACGTACGGAGTTTCCATCCGTGACTTTCAGTTCAAAACCAGAAATTTTGTTTTGTCCACGGAACACACCACACGTCTGATAAGACGTGAAAATGGATCGAGGTCACATCAGTACCAATTGTTACCACTGACAGTGCACGTCGGGACTTGTTTATGAACAGTTTCAATCACCGACTACGAAGGCCCTCTGATATTACGGTAAATGAATTTTGCTCGTTTATAACTATAAATCGTGAATGAAATATGTGTTACTGTACATAACATCTGTGATAACTTTTGATGATGCAAGTTTGTTTCGCAAAATGAAAGCTGTCAGAATTAACCTCAAAATTTCTGTCGCCTTATATGTATACATACAGAGAACTATTTTGTAAGCATTTGTAGGTGTGATTATAAATAACTTTTTATTGGTGTTTTCCTTCAAATTCTCCACATTTACATTGACCGATACATGTGCTGGGCCTTAATTAGTAATTCGGCCTACATAAGTTAAAAACATTGTTATTACAGGTAATTTCCTCACGTATAGAGATCTACACCAGACCTATATATGAAAACCTTCATATTTACCATTAACTTTTGAGTTTACATGTTCGAAAGTTTCATTAGGTCTGTGCAGAAAATTCTTTCGCGAATTGTTTGGAACTATTACTATGATATAATATGTATATTGTTGCTAGATGCCTAGCCGTAATGTTTCTTCTCTTGACGTCCTGGAATGGAACCGTAGATGTAGACTTCACGAGGTGGTCATAATACAATTTACAAGAAATAACCTTAACGAAAGTTGCATTTTCTCTAAATTGTTACAAGACAAGGAAGTTCAACAGGTTCCAATGTATTTCGCGCCTT